AACAATTCTCTTTGTATTTTCTGTTATCCCTCCCTGTTCTGGTACTCCAATCACTTGTAGGTTATTTTTGATAGAGTCCCACATAATTCTTAGAGTTTCTTCATTTCTTAAATCCTTTTATCTGATATTTCCTCAAATAAGTTGGTGTCAAGTGCTTTATCTTCAGTCTTACTAATTCTGGCTTCCATTGCCTCAATTCTGCTCCTATGACTTTCTATTGAGTTGTCTAATCTGAAATTTTATTGTTAATCTTCTGGATTTCTGATTGCTGTCTCTCTATGGATTCTTGTAGCCTGTTAAATTTCTCATTGTGCTCTTCTCTAATCTTCTTAAGTTCCTCTATTGCTTTGTCTGCGTGTTCCTTGGCTTGGTCTGCATTTTGCCTGATCTTCTTCCTGATATCTTGTAGAGTTCTATATATTAATCTCTTGTATTCTGCTTCCAGTAATTCCAGGAAATTCTCTTCCTCTGTAAAATTTCTTAATTCTTTATTTTGGGGGCTTGATGAAGCCATCACTGTCTGCTTCTTTATGTAGTTTTATATTGACTGTTGTCTCTGAGCCATCAATAAGTTACTATATTTACTTTTGTTTGCTTACTGTGTCCTAGCTTCTTATTTTGTTTTGTTCTGATATGCCCACATAGGCTACTCATGTGAGCTAGTTTGATTATTTGCATCTTTGAAGCTCTAATGTCCTGTCACCAGGTGGTTAGATCTGTTACTAAGTATGTGAGCCCAGGATTCCATTTACTTTTCTTGTATGAATTCAGCTCAGGTGTCCAGGTCACCAAGTGTGTGGTGCAGGCTCTCGCCTACAGCTCTAGATAGGCATGGGTGATTGGTGTAGGCACAGGTATCTGGCTGTAGTAGGGAGTCACATGCTGAGCAAGGCAGGGGGTTGACAGCTACCCCTGAGTGCCTGGGATGAAAGCGTGTCCCTGTTCCCTAGAGCATGTAGGTGGGTGGGTTTTGCAACTGGATTATGAGCACCCACTGCTGTTGGCTGTGAAGACTAGGAGGCCCCACTTATTCTTGGACCCTTGTTGTGGGTGGCTAAGTGGCGTGGATGGAGCCACCAGTCCTCAGACTCCTAATGTGTACAGGTAAGGAAACTTCTTAATTGGCAGTGCAGTGTGAAATGTCACGAACCTGCCACTTCACCGTATAGCTGAAACAGTTGAAGTTAGACTTCAGGTATATACCCTGTTGTACTGTAGTAATGAGGGCCTATGCTGTTGAAATGGGCCCACACACGTCTATGCGGGGATGAAAGGCATTCACACTCCATGGACCCCTTATATCTGTGCCTAGGCAAAAGAGCTGTGATTACCCTGAGTTCCTGGCTTAGGGGAGCTGGCAGATTATATTTTCCATGTTTGTTAATTTTTTCCCTCTCTAAGTTCAGAGAATGGCTCAGGGCATGTGATGCGTCCTACTTCTGGCCCAGGGGACTCGGCAATCACTGAAGCTGGTCCAGGACTTGGTGCAGTGTGGGGAGGGGGGAGGTAAATGGGAAAGAGGTTTTTGCCAAAGTGGGTGTTTTTTGATCTGCATAGTAGGCCAGACGCAAGCAGTTATCTTTCACCAATCAAGCTCTCCTTCTCACTGGTTCTAGATGCCCAAGTAGACTCTCCTCCACTTGATCTCTCCCAACATGGAAAACACCTCCCAAGTGCCATGGCTTGCCTCACCGTGCACGTGAGCTAATCAGGTCTGAAGGGTGCCGGCTCCCACTGGGTCAAGTCTGGCAACTCCTCGCTGCTTCTGAACCATCTCTCCCTCCCTCTGCCACTTAGTCAGATTCCTCAACTTTGCCTTTGATGTTCAGGGCTCCTAGATTGTCATATATAATCAATTCACTTGTTTTTTGGGGTCTTTATTGTAAGAGGGACGACCGGATGCATCTGACTAGTCTGCCATCTTGGCCTCACCTTCTCTAAAACTCTTATGATATGACCTTCTACGCCCAATAGGAGTGACCCAGTCCATACAAGCCTCTGAGTGGTTATCACTGGCCAGGCCTTGGACACAGAATAGCAATTTGAGATGAAGCACATTGGGCATGCTTCATGACATAGGGCACCAAATCTCACCACTCCTGAAAATCAGTTACAAGGATAACCTAGAGTGTTCTCTAAGGCAGAAATTTCTGAGAATACTCTGGAGGCATGCTTAAGCTAGAGTGATCTCAAAGGTGACCCAAATCTATAGGAAGATTTCTTTCAAAGAATCTCTCTAGTTCCTGATGGAGCAGGAGAAAAGTGGGGTGCAGAACTCAAATTCTAGTAAAAAGACCAGACTTAATGGTCTGACTGAGACTGGAGGAACCCCAAAAAGCATGACCCCCAGACTCTCTGTCAACTCAGAACTAAAAACCATTCCCGAGGCCAACTCTTCAGACAAAGATTAGAGTGGACTATAGGGCATAAAATGATACTTGTGAAGAGTGTGCTTCTTAGCTCAAGTAGATACATGAGACTAAATGGGCAGCTCCTGTCCAGAGGTGAGATGAAAAGGCAGAGAGGGTCAGGAGCTGGTTGAATGGACGTGGGAAATCAGGGGTGGAAAGGAGGAATGCGCTGTCACAGTATAGGGAGAGCAACTAGAGTCACATAACAATGCATGTATAAATTTTTGTATGAGAGACTAACTTGAATTGTAAACTTCCACTTAAAGTAGAACAATAAAAGTAAAAAAAAAAAAAGAATCTCTCTAGGTCTAAATGAACATGGAGCCAGAAAGCTCTAGATTTCTTAATTCCACATCAATATCTTAGGCTACCTGTGGGTATTGGGGAATAATTGCATGCATTTGGCATAAGCTAGGCTGTATTGCATAACCATGACCTTGCATAACATCCCTCTAAATTCAACCCACTGGACAATCATGCAGCAGAATTTAAAGATATCCAGATTCTTGGTAACATACCGAAAGAGAAAATTCGCCCAGTACAGTTACCAATTTTTTCTTACAGTTTGTGGAACGTTTTGAGGGCAGGGATCATATTTTTTTTCACTGTTGTATTCCCTAAGAAATGGTTCCTAATATAGTATCTACCTAATAAGAACTCAGTAAAAAAATGAGTCAGAACAAAGTAGACGGCAATGGGTTTTTTTTTTTTTTAAAAAAAAAAAACATTTCTAATGTTAAAATATTTTGATTTCATTGGTGCTTGTTTTGTTAACAGAAAAAGATTCCAGGACCTCCATTTGGCACTCAGATTTGGAAAGGCCTTTGCATTGGGTCCAAACAGCTAGTATGTGCCCCGGCCCCTATACTCAAGAGTCCCAATGTGTTACAGATCCGCCAGTTCATCCAGCATGAGGTCATAAAGAACGAGCTGAAACTGAGGCTGCAGATTTCCCTTAAGGTAATAGAATTCAGGTAACCTAACCCGAAAGAATCAGGAACAGGGCAATTATTCCTGTCAGTTTCCTGAGGAAACTAAAATTGTGCAATTCCACCAATATTTATCCAATGAAATGCATGTCAGTCAGTCTCCCAGAGGTGAGAAGGTTGAGAGGTAGAAAATATTTAATGGTTCCCATAAGTTGTAGGAAACATTAAGAGGCTCAAAAGCCATTGAGAAGATGAGTAACTTTTACATGTGATTGCTAGATAGAGTCCTTCTTCTTTCTCACTATATGGAAAACTTGTCTAATGACCCCTGGAAAAAGATAAAACCACATATTAATCTGATAAAGGCCCATGAAAGAAAAGGGTTATTGGAAGAAAAATTTGGGGAAATGGTCTAAGTATTTTTAAATGGATAGTTAATCGTATAATTATAACTTCAACATCTCACTCTCTAGTTTGTTAAACCCCACAGAACAGGGACCATGTGTCTTTTGTTTATTGTTATATACCCAGCACCTGGCATAGAGCAGAGAATCATTAAATTTTTGTGGAAAAAGTGAAATGTATCTTTCCTGGAAGCAAAAGAATGGACTAAGCAACTTATAGATAGAATCATAAATATTAGACCTGGAAAGGACCCTTGAAATCATCTAATTCAATTCTGTCCATTTATTGATGAAGAAGCTGAAACAGAGTTAGAAGCAAGGCATCTCTGAGGTCACACAATTCTAATATTCTGCGGTTCTTAAGTCTTTGTTTTTGGACTTTTCAGCTCTTTTGTCTTATTGAGATATTAAGGAAAAGACTTTGCAGGTTGCTTGAGCAGTAACTGGTGGTTGAGCATTGTGAGATTGTATATTCTTAACCTCTTTGTAATATTTCAAGTTGATGTGGACTGCTTTGATGCCTCTCTCTACCTTATTCTTGTTTTGTTTTGTTTGTTTGTTTTTTAATTTATTTTATTTTGCTGATCTAGGATTACATAAACCATATTTTGAAGAAAGAAGATGAGCTACAGGAAATGACAGTTAAAGATTCCAGAACTGAGGAGGAGAGAGGCAACGCTGCAGATCTCCTCAAGTTAGTCATGGTGAGAAAGAAATGTTTTATATACCAATATTTCTACTCTTGTTTCAATATTAGGTATTTCAAGACAAAATATAAGTAGTAGCCATTTCTGCCACTTCTCTAAAACTTCTGCTCTCTATAATTTCTCATTTCTGTGGAAAGAAATCTAATTCCTTATATATTGAATTTTCCAAATGCTTTTTAGGCTCTTCCTTTGGTCATAAATAATTCTGAAGGCCCTTAAATAAAACAGTTTGTATTGTCTTTGGAGAAATTGAATTCACTGAAATGTTGGATGAATGACTGAATGAAATAGTAAGAATGGGGTAAGGAAAAGGAATTTCCACAACTTAAAATGATTTCCGTTTTTAAAAATTCTTTAAGTGAAAGGAATGACTAAAAAGAAATCAAATGCATTTTTGTATTGGCATTGAAGAACTAATTCATTTTATAGTAATTTCCATAAAAGATCAATTGGAACATACAAAGAATTCTTCTGAACAAAGTGAACTTTATATGTAATATAATCATTATTATTAAGAAATTCTGTTTTCATTTCAGTCTTTCCCTAAAATGGAGGAAACTACAAAAAGTCATGTTACTGAAGGTAATTGGCCTTTAATATTTTTCTAAAATACATTTACAAATTTCAAAAGGTATGAACTTAATCTTATCAGTCCTTCTCTCACCTGAGAGCAAAGCACCATGTATACACATCTCTATTCTAGTGTTGGCCATGTTGTATTGTAATGATATTTATATGTTTGACTCTGCCTAAATTGTGAGATCCTGGAGAAGCATGATTACCTCTAATTTGTCTGTAACTTTAATCTGTCAAATGAAAAAAGCTGACATTTGCTTTTCTGTTAACCTCAATTATTTAGAAGATCACTAAGCTACAGGAAGGAAACAATGAACCAACCAACAGCTCAACCCACCTCACACATATACACACACAGAACACTCGAGCAACCACGAAGTTATCACCAGTCCTTGCACTGTTCTACACACTATGTAGCTTAGGCAGTTTACTCTTAGAAGAGATTGTCTTTCAAAGCATACTTATTTGGGGATATACACAGCCCAATGAACTTGATGATATGGTTTTATAGCCCACATCAGACAAGCAGTAAAGTGTTTTGTTTTGTTTTTGGTCATGTGGCAAAGTTCCTCTGTCATCTGGCAGCCATGGGCTTTGTTTGGCCCACAGATGTATTTTGTGTGTCCTCCACAGTATTGGCTTCCATAGTTTCTTTTGTAGTTACTATTGTTGTTGTTCTAATCTAATCTGGATTTTTTTCTCCTCTTAAAATGTCACATTACCATGTGGTAATATTTGGCCAAAATGATTGGCAGCTGCCTTTTTTAGAATAACCACTACAGAAGAGTCCATCACAGCCTGCAATGTCTCTCTGTTACACCATGTTGTCCCACTTTACTTGGGTGTCCCTTCTAGTAGGGTTGCCAGGTCTAGCAAATAAAAATACAGCAGGCCCAGTTAAATTTGAATTTCAGATAAACAACAAATAATTTTTCAATACAAGAGTGCACCCATAAAACATTTGGGACATACTTATACTAAAAAATTGTTTCCTGTTTATCCGAAATTCAAATTTAACTAGGTGCTTTATGTTTTATCTGGTAACCTTACCCTGTGGGCATTTGAATTTATAAGCTCTACCACAAGGGAGCAGGCACAATAGAAGTAAACACACAAGTTGGCTAATAGCGAAGGATAAACTAAAAAAAATTTAAAACAAAAATAAGCGAACAATTAACTACAAAACTCAAACAAATAGAAAGAGAACAGCAAAAAAAGCCCACAACCACAGGAAGAAAGGAAATAGTAAAGATCAGAGCAGAAATAAATGAAATAGAGAACAGAAAAACAATAGAAAGAATCAACAAAACCCAAAGTTGGTTCTTTGA